GTGTGGGTGGCTGTCTGCCCCCTAGTGTGTGCGTGTGTGTGTCGAGTCTGCCGAGTCCCCGGGCGGTACAGTGGCGCCCACAAGTGTAACCACTCGACAGAGATGTCCTGAATAAATTAGCAGGAATCTCCACCGAAATTGGGACAAGCGGCAAAGCAGTTTAATATTATTAAATTTGGATTTAAGCAGTTGGTTTGTTAATGATTATAAATTAACTAATTAAATTTAAGAAGACAGCATAAGTTTTTATCCAATATAAATAAAATTATTTTAAAGCTCGCCTTCGAAATGTTAAAAGGGGTTCGTAAACATTTCCTATAACCAATTCTTATTAAAACCACAACATTTATGGCTTTGCCCCACTGTGCTCCCGGACTGGCAGCATAAATTATGCGAATCGATGGCATCTTATCAACATTTGTCACTGCAGCCCACACACACACTCGCACAGAGGCACACACACTCGCATTGCCGTCCACCTGCAAAATGCATTTACCATTTACCCCTTTTGCCAATTTTCCCATTTTCCCATAGCATCCCCCCTTCCCCCAACAGCTGACCACTTTTTTGGCCCAAAAACATTTTCCTGCACCTGACTGCAATTCGATTTTCATTTTGGCAATTTCAGTTTCGGTTTCAGAGTTTCGATTTCTGTTTCTGTTTTGGTTTCGTGCACAAAATTATCGAGTTACATTTTCGGGAATTTGCGCTGATTACACACACGCATCCTACCCCTTTTTCCATTTTCCCTTTTTGTGGACCATTACATCCACCCACCCAACGCCTGCGATTGATTCAACCCGTTGAGTTTCGTTGCTTTGGCCGGCCACTTGGCGTAATGTAATGAAAAATAAATAAATCCAACGTGGCCATAAACCTGAGCAGTCATAAAATGTGTGTTTATTGAAATTAAAACCGGGCCAAAAGGCACGCTGGGCGGTTGGACGGGGGAGGGTTAGGTGTCGAGATCATAAAACTAAAACAGAGACACAAACTTGACCGAAACTCTTGCATAATAAATGCTAATAAAGCTTTACGATGATGTTGGCTACAAAGGGGGAGGAAGCAACTGACCCAAGGACACTCACACATACTGGGCACAAAAAACACAAAAACAACAACAACAAAATACATATGTTCCATCTGCCACCCCCGCTCCCTTTTGACTTGGGCGCCACGTAAAAGTTAAACAACACGAAATTCCATTAAGCGAATGGATTGCCATTCATAACTGTCCTCGGGAATGTGTGTCTGTCTATCTGTATGTGTGTGTGTGCTTGGGTGTGTGTGTGTGTGTGTAACTGTGTTGGTGTAAACAACACCAAAAACCAGGGCTACAAAAGGTTGCCTGAAAATGTGTGGCAACCATTTATTGATATCCAGTCGGGTTGGGTTAAAGAGAGGTCCTGGGGAAAAGGTTAAGGAGGTAAGGGTTGGGTAATTATGGAAAGGTATAGGCAGTTTTCTTTAGGTTTTAGCAGAGAAACTAAGGATATGCTAAGGGGTAATAGGACCAGTAATTACTATTTTTTTGATACTTTAGATAAGCTTTTATTTATTTTTATATAATTATTTAATAATTATACAATATTACAATATCACAATATTATTATTATTTGATTCTCTCTTAAAAGGACAATCCCAGCTTGTATTCTTTTAATAAAATCAAAGCTAAATAGAGTTTCAGCTGAGTTCCAAGTAAACCGAGAAACCAAACCACAGGCCACCACTAAAACAGAACCGCCACAGCACACACACATGGAGTGCACACAAACAAACAAGGATACTCTCCCCTTTCAGACCCCCTTCCAGACCCCCCTTTCAGACCCCCCTTTCGGTCTCCTCGCCCACCCGCCTGGCGCATTGCTTTCATGTGTTTACTTTGGACATCGCATAAAGGTGACCAGACTCTGTGATATGTCATTTATTTCCAGCGCCGGGCGCGCCCTCCATTTGTAAACTCAACCGGAAAATTGCTTTTCTCAGCGCGTAGTGTTCGCCACGCCAGTTTTCCCTGCTAATGGCCGGCTAAAAAAAAACTTAAAGGAAGCCCCAAAAATATGGCATACGAAACGAGACAAAAAACAACTCAGAAAAATACACATGAATTTAAAGCTGAATCACAAGCTGTTTACTGTTGTAATTAAATTTGCAATCGAGAGGGCCGTCGTCTATTTAATTGTTTGACATCAGCATTATTCCAAAGGGGGAGACTGTGGCTGCTGCTGTTCCGGCCACGGGGGCGTATACGTGATCGCCGAGGCGAGCTCATAACTCATAAAACGTATACGCCCCATCGTCTTGGCCCGACTACGTGCCAACTGTCAAAAAGCGGCATCCCGCAGCGCAGGATACTCCTCTTCTCCTTCTCCTCAAGTCAAGTCAATAAATAAACCATACATATTGATATGGGCATGTATGTATGTATGCTCCCCGGTGGGTGGTGGAAACTTTAAGTTTTCCCTCCCCCAGAAATATACGAACTTTGGCGTATAATTTTTAATCCACCACCGCCGCCTTACCTCGCCCCAAGCCATCTAGTCGCTCTTATTTCTCCAATGCAGCTGCATAAATACATTTGTTCGACTGCTGGCTGATTCCATATGGTTCGATAATATTTATCCGGCAACTGTCGAGTTCCCACAGCAATGGGCGGAAAAACAAGGCCAAATGAATGCCAAAAGGGGGGTGACGGCGAATAAGAAACCGAAATTAGTTGAGATTTCTCAGCCAAGTTGTGCACTTCTTGAGGCCTTGCATAGTATATCGATTTAGTTGCGAAAGGAAGGGGCTTGCCAGAAGAATTTGCAATGGATTTGTAAATATATTTACCAATTTAGTTTTGAGAATTAAGTAAATACATTAATTAATTAATTTAAAGTTAGATGATTGGCCTTGTTTAACCCAAAAAAGCCTTAAATACATGTTTCTTAATCATTGTATTATGTTTATCTTTAAACTTTAATCAAAATAAGTTTATATTTTACATAAATTAACCCCTTTTTAAATACTGTCCCAATGTTTACAACATTTCCTCACCCAAAAAAAAAAAAAAAACAAAAATATTTATTATTGACATTTCAATATTTGCTAAACGCTTCACCTATGCCTGCATAAACATTTCCCTTGGCTAATCAATTTGTATCTACCTGCACGGCGATGACACTCATAAAGTGTGCTTCGAAAAAAACAATAAAAATAAACCCTCAAAGTGGAATTGAGAGAAAAACAACAATAGCAAATGCTAATCATGCAACAACTATCAGCGACAAACAAACCAAAAAATAAGAAGAAATACAAATAATAAAAAAACGCAAGCGACCTTGACTTTCATACCAAAAACCCCGAGTAGCAACGACGTCAGTCGTCAAGGTCATTTGCCGGCTCTTGGCCAACTCGGATGGTTTTCTCTGATTATTTTGGCCGGATTCTTTTCAACCAATACCGTATATGCGTTTGGACCGACATTGACAGGTGGTAATTGATGGGCGAGGGCCGGACCCGGCTGGGTTTCTTTCTTTCAGTCAATTGTCTCCACGGTTTTTGGCTTTTGATTAGCATTCAATTGGTCACTGGGCCAAAATTTGGGCTTGGAGAGTCTCAGTGGGTTTCTCGAATGTATGATTAATTCGTACGCCAAGGTAATGGAATTTTGGCGGCCAAAAGGGAGCTGTTTTGGAATTATTTACCTTGGAGATATAAACATTGCCTTTCCTTTGCTTTAATAAATATGAAGTCTATATTTTAATCAATTAAAATTGTAAAATTTCTCAGGTAAAACAACTGTAACATCTATTACCCAACAGTTCCCCCAAACATTTACTTTGTCGCTTGATTAATTTTGATTGATTTCAAGTTGGGGTTTTTCCTTCTGTCATGTTGTCACCGCTGAAACATTTCCTCTGGCTGCGTAACTGGAAAATACCCGTTGCGTTTTCCTCTCCGCTTTTCCAGGCCCGTCTATCAATTTGCAGAAATTGCATATAGTATTTGTCATGATATGTTAATCTTTCGAATGCGTTGCATAATCACTGCAGCAGCCGCTACTGCTGCTGCTGCATCAACTGCGAAGGCAAACGCGTCAATTTACTGAATTTTACTGAAAGCGTCGTAAAGCGGCATTTCGCAGCAAGTGAGGCCCGGCAATTGGGTCAAAATTGTTTACACGCCGCTGCGCATGCGTTGCTGCCTTCCAAGACAACAGAAAAATAATAAAAAAAAAATAGATTCACAAAAATCGCAGCAAAAGCGATTTAAGATTCACCAACTAAAAAACAGCTCCATCCATTTTTATTTATTTGCCATGGAATTTGGCTTTTTTTTTTTTGTTGATCTTTCGGCTTCAGCGTCTCAAGGCCGTTGAAGATTTCGTTTGATGTGTTGACTCTACAAGCATCTTGTTATCGATGCGATCGATGTTCACCTGTCGAAGTCCGTGGGACCCGAAAACTGGAGCAAGGGAAACCGGCTTTCAATAGAGTTCAAAATTAATGCGTTGCAACTATGAACAGGAAAAGAAAAACCCAACAAAATGCGGGTATTTTTAGGGAAGTTTCTTCTGAAAGGCTACTTAAAGTGGGTGTACCCTGATTAATTTACATTATATTTATAATATCATACTATATTTTAAATATTCTTGAAAACTTCCCATTCACAGAAAACTAAATTGACAAGACCTCTTCGAGTTTCAAAATTTTAAAGAGGCTTGTACGTATTTCCAAATTTACCAATTTCAATTGCACACATTTTCGCATATTTTTTTTTTCCAGCAAACACTCGTTAAAATTCTTGCCCAACGCGTTAAAAGGCAGAGGTCAGCAGTGGGTTAACGTTTGCGCCGCTTGCCAAACTCACGGCAGCCAAGAAAAACAAAAAAAAACGCATATACTATATATTTTTATTTCCAAAAATATTGGTAGCTTGAAGTGCAGCACGGCCACAACAAAAAAAAATAAATAAATAACAACGAAAAAATGGAAAAAACAAACAATGAAACTCACTTTCACGTGGCTCGCTAATCAATCGGCCAATCAATCGACACTTGAAAACAGATCAATAGCTTTCGAGTACAAAACCGAAACCGAAACTAAATTGAATTTGAAAACGAAAACGAAAATGAAAACGAAATCAAAATTGAAACAGAAACTGAATCAGAAATCGAAACTGAATGGCAACAGCTTGAAAACTCCACCGAATCCACCGGCAACTTTTTAAACTTGGTTACTTGGTTTTGGCGCACGCGAATCAGTACTAAATTGTTTAAACTTTATGCAGCCTCAAAAACACTACAAAAACATATAACCGACGACGACGTCGACTGAGGCAGCAGCGGCGGTAGCGTGGCAGAGGGTTTTCCAAAGAGCCAAGCGAGGCGGTGCGAGGCGCCAGCACAGTGGTTGCGATCGGGCAGATTTTGGGGTATCTTGTGATATTAACAAAGTTTATATTTTCATTTTAGTGGTTTATTATATTGAATAATTAAGAACAACAATGTGAGCAACACATTTTGAAGGAATGAATACTATATTTTGAAATAATATAATAAAAATAAATAAATATAATAATAATAATAAGTTAATAAGTTTTTGAAGTTAACTAGCTGCCTTTTCTCATTTTGAGTGTCTATATTTTGTAATAATATTTTAATATTTGTCTATAAAAGTCTTTCTGGTTAAGTATTATATATAAACTTTTTGTATTTATATTTAAGCCATAGGGCCCACTGTGCCAAGTCAGGCTTGAGAAGTGCAGCCGGAGTGACGACGTCGACGGCGGCAGAGAAGGCTGCCGCTCACGAAGCTGTAAAGTAAACGCTGTAAACGGCACAAGCTGCAAATGCTGTTCCAGCAACAACATCAGCAGCAGCAGCAGCAACAACAGCAACAACAGCAACAAAGGCGCGTTAAGAGCTCAGCTGACACGGCTAAAAGCCGCTGGCATTGCATAAGAGTTGAGACCAGTAATGGACACTCGCACGATGGGCCTTGGCCCGGGGAATGGAGATCAGAGATCAGAGATCACAGATCACAGAGAACCAGAATTTCAAAGCAGAATAGAGTCCAAAAATTCCCTCAAAAGGTCCAAAACCTTAGAATTTTATGGTCAAGTTTTAAATAAACTTGGTTAATTGCCAAGAATAACAAAATAAAGCTTAAACTATTCAGTAAATAACCCAAAATATTGCTTTATTTGGTAAATAAGATAATGTGAAGCTCTGGATTAGTTTGCAATAAGAATTTAAAAAAATCCCAATTAAACAATAGCTCAACTGGTCTGGAATTAAAGCCAAATAATAAATTGTGCCAACAAAACTCGTCCAGCAATTTATAAAGACAGAAGCCGGCCAGGTGCAATTTATATTTTTTTGTTCACACAAAAAACTGTAAGCTACAGCCATGATTTTCAGCTGGCTTTTGTTGCTTCTGTTGTTTATGCAATAATCGTACTAATTGAAACGTTTTGTCAGGAGCCACAACAACAATTAAAATGGCAACAAGCAGCGGCGATAACGCCATCAAACACAGGGCCAAAACAAAGACAACCCCCTGGCAGCAACCCTCTCTCTCTAATTGCCATCATTTTTATGATAGTGCAAAAAAAAAAAATAAATAAATAAAAGAGACACCATTTTTTGCACTTTACTTTTTGGTCACAACTAAACATTTTTTTGATATGTTTATCACACGAACGAACAGCAACGAGACCGAAAAGCAACCACCAGAAATAAAATAAAATACAATTTTCACTCCGGATGTAAGTTTGGACATTTAAAGACCGGAACCCGAAAAATGGGTAAAAATGCATAGAAATTCATACAAAACAGAGTGGGAAAAGGCCCTGCTGCAAGCATACCTCTTAAAGGTTATGCTTTGTGTCAACTTAAGGTCACCTTTTGAATTCCAGACCATCAGCTTATAAAATTCTTTGTGCTAAATGCAAATATGTAATCCATTTTACTTATGACCAGACAACTTGCCTGAAACATTCTCACTTTTCTGTGATTAATTAAGTAAATTGTCGATGCAAGTCGAGTTTTGTGCATTGTAAACGAGAGTAAAATGGCACAAAATGCTCTCAATTAAGCTCGTTGCATGTCCGTTTGTTTGTGTAAACAAATACACTTTTTTATTTAATTAAAATACTGAAAATAAAAGTAATACAAACACACGCCCAGCGACACATTTGCAGATAAACTTTTATGACATTAAATGCAAAAATGCCGCCAGACGCAGACGCAATGAACTAAAGCAAAAGCCCCCTTTAAGCCCTTTTCTGTCCAAGCCCACGCCTATTTTTTTTTCGGTGGGGTGTAGCCAGGCTTAGCAGATATTTACAGGAACTATGGGAGATTAAAATAAAATTTTTTTTTAATTTTTAAAAAGAAAAAAAAATAATTTGAAATTGGTTACAAGATCGTTAAGACTTTTTCCATAAAAGAATTAAGAAACATGTTGTAAGAACTTCATAAAAATATAAACTATATTTAAGAGCCTTGAAAAAATATAAAAAATACTGTTTAATAAAGAAAAGTATTTGATAAATTAGGAAAAAATAAATATTTATGATTCCTAAGAACCTTTTTAATTTGCAAAATCACTTAATGAAACTCTCTTTTATTAATTTTTCCATAGAATTTATATTTTAAAATTACAAAGTAAATTTACAAAATCATTTTCTGGATCTCTCTTACTTTCTCTTTTGAAATTTTTTAAATAAAATAAATATCTAAAAAATTACAGAGTAGATTATATCCTCGCCCATCGTCCGATTCCCTGTGGGCGCTGTGTGCATTTGTATTTGTGTATTTGTTTTGGGCATAAATGAAATATGCATAACGTAATATACAGTTGGTAAAATGTCGGTTTTTGGTATTTGTTAAAGTATTTTGTCGCCTTTTTCATATTATTGTTTTCACTTCCGTTGCACCTTTCCCTTGCTTTCTGCCAATAAAAGTTTATTCCTCAATATTGCTGCATATTTAAAATATATTAATTTTCAAGGAAAACAAAAAAAAAAAAGTATATATATATATGCCAGCAAGTTGCAATTGCAACTTTTTGTTGCGCACTTTTCATTAGATTTCCATTTGATTGTCGAACAAAAATATGTCCCCTTTTCTGTTTTCCTCGTTTTTCAGGCACATTTATATGTGAATCTATATTTCATATCACATTTTTGCTAAATAAAAATTGCCCAGAGTTAGAGAGAATTCTACGAGATGGCCATAAAATTTCATATTTGGCTATTTGCATTTAATTGGTTGAATTATGAGGCAATTTGCTTAAATTTCAAACAATGTTTGTTGACACTTTTGATATTAAAGTCAATAACTTGATAGTTTCGTTTTTATTTCATATTTTTATTTTATATTTTATATTTAAGAAATATTTTATTTAAAATTAAAATAAGAGACTTTATATTGTTGATACTTCATGGATATTTATTTAGTTTCTTTTTTAAAATGCTTAAAAAGTCTGGTAGAATAGCAAAAAACTTAAAAATTTTTAATAATCGGCTCTCTAAATTTTCTTACATTTGTTTTTTACTTGGTAAATTAATTTTAAATATTAATTCTTCAAAGTAATATAGAAATTTCCTTTGCTAAAGCACGCTTTCCTTCCAGGACTTCCAATAACCACTTGTTGCATTCTGCTTACCTCTCTCTCTCCCCCTCTCTTCCTCTCTCTCTCTCTCTCTTTCTTGGAACTCACCACTCTTGTATACAACTCCACCACACTGACAGGACACACGAAGCCAAGTCCTTTGACACTCGTCTTCAGTTGCTTGGAACTTTTAGAGCAGGCAACATGCAGCCATATGGTTTTGCCGGAAAAACACTACGTTTTCCCTGTGGCTCTGAAAAGCGGGTTAGAGCTATAGAGCGGGGGATGCCAACCCACCCCACCACATAACAATGAAAATATAATTTTAGTGCCTAGTAAAAATCCATGGCTATGGATAAAAATTTTCGTTACGCTTCGCTTTTCCTTGCTCGATTCTCCTTTATCCTTTGCGTGCCGCCAAAAAAGGGGACATGAAAAACTGCCAGGGAAAATGTAACCAAAAAGAAAATATATATATATGCATGGTCATATTATTAAAAAGAAAAAAAAAACCGAAAGCCAGCGCCAGGGAAAACTATGAAAATTTAGCCGAGGATGGTATCGAGGCAAGTCAAATTTAATTTCACGCTTTCCGAGTTTTTCGCTTAGCCAAGAAAATTACTAATAAACCATGTGGGGAAAGGGAAAAACTATAGATTTAAGAGAAATTAATATAGTTTAAATTTATGGCTAATTATTATATATTTTTTTAAGGAAAAACAGAGAACGGGAAAGAGGGGTTTTCCTTTACCAAAACTTATTTGAAATATTTAAAAATGTTTTCCCTAGAAAACTACAGAAAAAACTCACCGAACAGAAATAGTTTTTCCTCTTTACGGACGACACAGCTGGATTTTGGCAATTTCCCTGACGGAATTCGGCGAAAGTTGCGGATGAAAGTGAAACTAATTTTTATTTATGCGCGAGGCAAGGGCGGTGAAGGAGGAGCAGGAGGCCTGACACAAAATTGCCCAGCATTATGCCAAAGCAAATTGCAAACACAATGAGATGGAAGGAGCAAGGAGGAAGGACGAAGGAGTGCCACACACACACATGTGGCCATAAACAATGAAATTTGTTGCTCACTTTTATGAGTTCCTTCCCTCAAACACCAACAAACGAAGGGGTGAAAGTGGGGGGCAGCATCAACATACTCGCCTGTTTGGCTGTTGAGTCCTTTTAGCCAATTTTAGTGTCTTACAATTTTCCGCATTGTCTCCTGTTCTGGTGCTTATCCTTCCTGCCGCCGCCGCACTTTCCTGGCCACTTTCACGCCACTGTCATTGCTAAGCTTAAGTTGTAGCAGCATTTTGTGCCAGACTCCTCGCCGTTGTTGGTTAAAAGCATCCTTAGTGCCCGGCCAGAAAAACCATATCAACTCTGACAGGACAATGCGAGGATGCAGAGCGCAGATTGTGCCAGGAGTGATGGCAGGCAAATCACTTGTATCGGAGATGGAACCGTGATGGATGATGAAAACCTAAAGGTAACATGTATTTAGAGTTATAAATTGATATAGTAAAAGCATAGGAATGTCAAGTTTATTAGCAAAATTCATTTTTAAATGAGTTTAGACTTTCAAATTAAACTTGTAAGCTTTGAAATTGTTTTATAAACAAGAGAAATGGTTTATATTTAACAAGATTATTATAGGAAACAATAGAAAAACTTACCCTTTCTATACCTAAACCTCTTATAATTTTTAATCTAGTTTTCCCTCAGTGCACTCACCACTCTCTGGCCGGGTCACGCCTCCACAATCCGCTGGCCTGTGGAATCATTTCAGCTACAGTTACCCCCCCAGTCCCAGTTGTAATCTGCTGCGTTTAGTTTATTGCTCGCCATTTGTTGAAACAAAGGCTGCTGCTGAGGGGGAAATAGAAATAGGGTTTATGATGTGCTCCGCTTAAAAGTTATTAACTAAATTGTGTGCGCTTGAAATTGAATGCCGGTGGGTAGGATCAGGGGAGTCCAGGCTCACGGAAATTTAATCACCTCAAGTGCTGCTACTGGAAAACGGAAGAGCTTTACCTAAGAGTCAGGTGTCCAAATGGTCAGCACAGAAAAGTGCAACTGCAAAGGCAAATGATAATCAAGGAAAGCTGGGGCAACACAATATTTTACAAAGGAGTTCCCAAATGAGAAAATAGAGGCCTTAAAGAAGAGGGACTAACTGATGAAAATGTGAATTATTTTAGTTAAAAAGTCTTGTATTTCTTAGTTGAAAGATAGCTCTAAATTTTGGTTTTAAACGAAGGACCTTTCGTCTTGGACAGCCTCTTTTTTTGTTAGTATATTTGTTTTGGGTGCCCCACTGTACCCCCCCGCTGCAATTACAAGCTCTGCCGCCATGGTGCAGCCCCCCCCCCACGAGGGGTGGCCCATAACTTGTGTCAAGCAACGCGGTCATATTGCAGCATGCCGCACGGGGCGGCACGAGGGTTTGCACTCAGAAATGTTGCCGATGGTCAGCTGGGGAATGCACAATTCAAAGGCTGAAAATGCACTAAAAAATAATCCTAGGACAAAATTTTAATAATATTATTATAAGATTTCTTTAAGTCCTAACCAGAGGTTTTAATTTTTAAAATTTTTTATAATAATTTCTTTTTTCTTAAATTTATATTTTCATGTTCCTTTATTTTTTTTAAGTGCTCTTTTTTAGCTGGCCGACTTGCTGACTTGACCAAGTTTTTTTCTGGCTTCTTCTTCCTTTTTTTGCTGCCGTCTGTCTCTCTTTTGGCGGATATGCGCTCTTAGCGAAAATTGCATTTGGCCAAATGAGTGAAAAGGGGGCCAAGAGGAAGCCCCCCCAGGAGAAGATGAGCAACCAAGTCCAAGACGGACTCTTAATATTTCAACTTTCATGCTCATTTGAACTCCCACACGAAGAGGCACAGGACGAAGGACAATGGTCATATCCATAGAGCGTGTAATAAAAAATAGGAATTAAAAATGAAAAAACAGTAGTAACTAGCTATACCTATATCCTTATCAGTTCTATAGGGCACTGAGAATAATAAATGAAAATTTAAATGTGAAAATGAATGAAACAGGGAAATCATAAGGATCTGTAGAGGTTAAAAATAACAAATCCAATGTGTTAAGTAAGGAAATAAAATCAAAATTCGATTAAAATTTTTAATTTAATAACTAAGAAACTTTTAACTAAGCAACAAATCATATTTATTTACCTAGAAACTTATATTTTACTTCCTATTTTTGAAGGATATTCCTCAGGACTTTGTACTTTGCATAATCGCAATTTGTTATATTTTCCTCAAGCATTTATTGCCCTTATTTCGATCAATTTCCTTGACAAAATGTAGACAAATATGCCCTGTAGCTACTATATATATTTTTATAATATTTTTTTGTATATATATTATGAGTTTTTTTTTTATTTATTGGTAGACCACACAGAGAGCCAAGTTAAATCGATATCTGATGTTATTTTTTGAGCTGTGCAATTCTTCGGTGGATGGCCTCTACTTCTCTTGGTTTTTTTACCCATGATTCTGCCGGGTTCCTCCCATTGACGACGTCTTCAGGCTGCAGCAGGACGAAGGGCGAAGGACATGGAACCTTTGCCGTTTACCGTTGGCCATTGGATGAGGAGGACGGCACCTGCTGCGAGTTATTTACAGCCACTGGAGGGCATTCCTTTCTTTCCTGACTTCCTCCTCATCGCTCCCGGTTTTTTTCTCTCACTTTTTTTTTATTTTTGTGTAGCAGGAGCAGGAGCAGGAGCAGCTCGTCCTTGTACAGCTATTACACATTGCCGGAAGCATTTGAATGTGTTTATGTGTAAGCGTCTATCGCTCAAGTTGCCCGCAGCTGCCCGCTGTTTCCCCCTCCCCTCCATAACAGCAACTAAAATGTTTCCGTTATTAAGCTAAAGAAACACTTAACTTTGCGCCAGGATCAGCAAGGACGTCAGGTGCAATGAATATGCAGGCGGAAGCGGAGGAACGGATAATAAGAGGGCGAGAGGGCGAATGGTAGGAGTCGGCGAAACACGAAACTTTTGAGGTGTTTAAAACGTTAATTTGCTTTAGATTTTACAGGAGTTACTCCTTTCGTCCCACCTCTAGGATATCCAGGTGAGGGTGTGCTAGTGTGTGTGTGTGTGAGTGATTTTCGCATTAACGCTTGCCACTTTGGCGGTTCGAGTCAACGGAGCACAAAAAACTGCTCGCCATTCTCTCCTGTTTTCCGTTTTCCTCTCGGTTTTCCTTATTTTTTTTTTGCCGCTTTGTTTGCTTGTTCAGAAATTAAGCGCAATGAAAACAAATAAAATTACTCACACAGTCAACCGGTACATTTTCATTGAGCTTTAAGGGAAAATGCTGTGAAAAGTCTGTGAAAATGCTGGAATACTTTAGGGCTTGAAGGCAGGAAAATTGAAGCAATTAAGTCTAAATATTCCCTTGAGTTTGGGTTTTCTTAGTTGATAAACTTTGTATTTTATATTTTAATTAGCTTTTAATATTTTATTTTTTTCGAGTAACAAGTTGTCTTCGATCCTTAAAAGCTTAGAATTTGTTTCTATTACAACATTAATTTGTTAAAAAATTGTATATACTATTTTACAGTACAATTTAACCCCAAAAAAAATAATAAAATTCGTAAAAATAAAACTCCTTTCGACTTAACTCAATTGGTAGTTCCAGAAGTACATACCAATCCGGCTTCTTCTGGCACTTGACCAAGACTCACGTTCATTCGCATTCCTTGGCAGTCCTTGTCCCACTCCCACTCCCTCTCTCCCTCTCTTGGAAATCAACTCTCATAATTAAATGGCAAGTCCGAGCTTCCCATTAGAACCTGCCCTCCCCCCACACACACACGTGCATGCATAAAACAATTTAACACTTAACGTGGCCAGGAGCTGAAATAAAAAGCGCATAACTCATGCGAGGAGTCAACGGCGGCAGCGACGCGGGCAGAGGCGACGACGGCGCCATAAATTTCAAAAACAGCTACAAAACAGGAAGCAGCCGGCGGAGCAACAAAATCAACAACAAGAGGGGGGAGAAAGGAGGGACAGTCCCAGAACAGATTCGAAGTTTTTATACCCTTGTAGAGGGGGGTTGCTGTGGGTGGATTCCAATGTAATTTTATACAATAGCTAAGGACTCTTAAATATATATATCCCTGAAGTTTCAGAACAATATCTCAAAGAGCCTCCGAGTTATTTAAGTTTTGCTAACATTTCTATGAATTTTAAATATTTTAAATATTTAATATTTTAAAAGTGTAGGAAAATGTATAATCTTAAAATGTTTGACTTACTTTTATAATAAATAAGAAAGTTTTTAGTATTATAATTAACTATTATAACTATTTTTTAAGACTTCCCTCATTAATTCTAAAATAAAAGAGTTAATTGGTAGAGGATATATTTCTGTTTTAATAATATATATAATATATACATTGAAAGGGTATAAGCAATGTTGTAACTCCCAAAAACAAAAACTCGAGTGGAACGTACTACTAGGAGAGGGAGAAAGATAGCTAGAAAAAGAGGGAGCAGGGGCTATTAAGACAGAGAGAGAGAGAGGGCTAGAGAGCCGCCCGCAATGGACTGCAAAAATATTAACTACCTTTTAGCAAAAAGCGGGCCAAGCTGACGTCAAGTTTTGTAGAAAATTATGTTTTACAATGCGAAAATTGAATTCCAGTTTATTGTTTTCTGCTTTTTTCACTTCAACCGCTGTGCTTTTTCTCCCTCTTCTTTGTTGTTGTTTTGATTCTTCGCTTTTCGCAGCATTTTTGTTTTACGATTAACTGTTAGATGCAGCCGACTTTTGGCCATTTTGTGGCTGCAAGTCAACGACTTTTCCATGTGTGGGTTTTCCGCGGTCTTCTCGCTACCATTTTACATGGTTTTTATACAAACTGAGGTTTGAAATTATAATAAACTGCAGAATCGAAAGAGCATTCTATTCTTCAGCATATTTTTAGGCAGCCAAGAGCCATTTTCCTCTCCCTCGATTTCTTGCTTTAAATAAAAGAAAGCATACATTAGGGCAGAGTTTATTTTGGGGCCCTCATAACACTTACAAAAAATCTCTAAAAACTAGACTTAAAAAAACTAACTTAGGCACAGCGACCTCTGTCCCACGCCCGCTCCCGTTCCCGCCTTCGCCAGCTATTCGTCCAGAGGCGTAGAACAAGGGGGGCTGCTCTCGGCCTGATCCTGACCCCCAACCTTGGCCATTCGCCCCACCCCACTTAGCCAGTTGGCCTGCCGCCGCTCCACATAGGGCTGCTGTGGGGCCGTGCGGAAGTAGAAGCTGCCCTGCGCCCGCCGCTGCGAGTGGATCCCAAAGCGGGCACGCCGATTCCCGTCACAATAGCCGGCAGAGAACTCCCAGTAGCTGCCGCACTCGTAGCCCACAAAGGGATACTCCGGGTCCATGGACTGGCGGAAGAAGATCGCCGCCGCCGAGTGGCTGCAGGCAATGGGATCTGAGGGTTATAAAGATGATGAGCTAACTCTGGAATCAGAAAACTACAAGGACCACTCACTGGAATTCTGCATATCCCGCAGATTGGCAAACATCTTGCAGTTCGTCTGAGGAGCTTTGCCTCCATTCGGATAGAAGTCGGCATGGCCACACTTCAGACTCGTGCCCAACGATCCACCGGAGGTGTGGATCACCTGCACGAACTGGGCATCGCCGGGATCCAGACGATACTTGGCTGCCACCTCTGCGGGCAGGGAGAACAGTGGTCCCGCTGGATCCAAGCCAATAATTTGTTCCACCTTGCCCTCGAGCACGGCTCCTGCATAGCCGGCAGCATGGGCGCCTAGACTGTAGCCCGCCAGGGTGACATTGCTGCGGTCAAAGTGACTCGGACGGAGCTCCTCCAAGGCCATGATTATGCCGGCCACGGTTAGACCCACATCGAAGATGGACATCGAGGCGCTTTTGTAGTCATTCTGCGACAGGTTTCCCCAGTCCACCACGCACACATTGTAGTTGGAGGCGAAGAGGGTCCAGGCTGGGCAAAGGGATTACTAATGTTATCTAGGGAGGAGGGAAGGCATGGGACTATCTTACTCAGCAACAGCTCTTGGACCCAGTCCTTGCTGCCCTGATCATTCCAACCGTGCAGGAACAGGGCCAACTTCTTCTTGGGATCCAGGCGACGAAAGCCCCGCAGGTCACCCAGTTGCAGGTTAAAGTGCACTTCGTTGCCAAAGTCCTTGGCTGATCTGCAAATAAGGGGGATGAGTGACTTTAAAACATGATCCAAAAAGTAAACCAAAACTCCCTCTCACATGGTGCGGCACTCGAAGACAATCCCATGGTTAAGATGCGCCCGCTCCAAGCTATTCCGGAGCATGGTCTCCTGCAAATACCGAAAGGCCTTCATCATGGGACTCCAGCGGTGTAAAGCCTCGGTTGTCGGGACATGGCCGAGCAGGAGGAGGAGCAGCAGGCAGGAGAGCAGCAGGCGGGACTCGTGACCGGGCATACGGTCAGTGGGTTAATGAGAACCACTGGGTTCTCGGGAAACTCGGATAACCGCACTCCACAACAAAAATAAATAGATATATTTATAGAGGAATCTCGAGATGAAAGACAAAAGACACCGCTCTGGACCGCTTGGCTGACTACTGACTACTGAAGAACCGAAGAACCCGACTCGCTTGTAACTCCAACAGACCCGTGAAGAGTCGATGATCGTGATGCAGAAGGGCACTGGGAGAAAACAAGGGGTACTTTTTTAAATCTAAAACTTGAACCTTATAACGGAAAATATTAGCTCTAAGATATATTTTTATAGGAAAAGCAAGAAAACTAGCTTTCAAAATAAGATTAAACTCTAAATAAATATTTATAAAATATAATTAAATCTAGCAAGTATCCAAATTTTCTCCCAGTGTAACTGATGCTGATGACCCTGCTCTCCGGCGTTCTTGGCCGCCTGTTTGCACAAGTGAAAGTACAGAAAAAGAGCTTGTAACGACTTTGGCGTTGAGTCTTCAACTTTAACTTCGATTTCGATTTCTTTCGGCCGGAGCTCGTCGTCTCTTTCGGTATTCAGTATTTGGTATATATCCACTCCACTGATCTTGACATAGAAGCCACATGGAGCAAACGGTAGCCACCAAAGTTTTCTGACTTGTCACGGCTGTTGGCCGGAATAGTTTACTTGGCCAGCTGAGCAAACCAACCCGAAATCGATAATAAAAGCGAAAGACAAGGCGTCGCATTCAGGCCTCTCATCTTGGATCGAATAGGTTTATTTTAGTGCAGTCATAAAGTTAGGAGGGAGTGGATCTGGGGAGACACTTTCTCGAAGCACTTGGAGAATGGAATATGTAAATACAAGTTTCAGAATATATATTTAAAATAAAAATTATATATATATATTTTTAATAAAAATATATTTATTTCAATGAAGTGTAAATATAAAATATTAATTTAAAATATTAAAATAATGTAATCAAGTTTTATTTACCAGAAATAGTTGATCAAGTGTTTTAAAGAAAACATTTCATAGTGTATATTATTATTTTTATATTTTAAATGATCTAAAACAACTTTAATTTATTTAAAAATTTCATAAAATTTATATTTTTAAACCTGCTAATTTCTTTCAGTGTACCCAAATGGCGGGCAACTTACAAACTTTGACCCAAAACGCTGTTTTTATGTCGCGCTCATAAAGTATGTTCGGTTTACAAGAGATAAACCATAAAATAATGTCGCCTCTCGCTTCCCCCTCTATATATTTTTTTTTTTTTTTATTTCGACGGAGCTTTCTAACCAATATGTGTTAAGCGAAAGAAAGGGAGAGAAGAACGCTAATGATGCGCAAGTAAAGTGCCAACCGAATTTCGTTTGTCTTCGCTTTATTGTTTTTCATATTTTCAGAGAGCAGAAGAGACTCCAGATCGAATCTTCTGCTAAATTCTGCTCTTTCTTCTGGCTTTGTTTTGATTTCTTCTGTTTTTGCCTTTTTTTGTTATTTTGGCATTCGATCAATTTGCATAAATATCTGTGGCTTGGCGGCCCTCGTTCCACCTGTGGCTGGCCTCAATGTCAACTTAATGCCCCGCACTATCAATCCGGCTGAAGATTTCGCAGTGGAATGTATCTCCAAGTGGGGAGAGAAGAATGAAGAAAGCTCTAAAGATTTTTTTTATTTAAAAATTTTAGGCTTAAAGAATTTAAAAAATGTAGAAATGCTTAATAATTAAGTGGAACTTTAAGCAAAAACTATTTTCAACTCTAAACAAACTAAAGAAAACTTTAATAATTGATTGCATAAAACTCATCAATGCAGAAATTCCCAAGTTTTTCCCTTTGAATTTCCTTTTGATTCGCGGGTAAAATCGCTTATCTACCATAATTTAATATTCATGAATGATCAGAAAAGTTTTTATCCTTCTAGGAGCCTCATTTCAATGCACTTGGAAGTTTTCCTTGCCTTTGTTTTTAGCCATTTTCTTCATGTGTCTCTATCATTAAGGCAGAGTGCGGCTTAATTGTTGCCACAGACAATGTGAGTGGGGGGGGGATGCCTCTGAGAGGGGAGGGGGGAGGGGCCTAGGGGTCCTGGATGCCCCCCAATCATCAGTTGCTTTGCCTATTAAGCAGCATCATAATAATAATGTGTAACAGCAACAACAACAGCTGCGGGCAATAACTTTTACATACAAGTGTCTGAAGAGCACTGAGGAAAAAGGGGGGAAATTAACAAGAAATTGGTTTTAAATTTTGAATGATTTCAAAATTTTTGTTAAATATGAATTATTACGAGAATTAATATTTGGGATATTTTACAAATTTATATTTAATAATACTATTAAATTTTCAGTGTTTTTTAGATTTTGTTTTAAATAAAATTCTAAATTTAAATATATTTTTAATAATTATTTTCTAAAACTAAAATTTTATTTATAAATTTTCATATATATTTAACAATTATCACCTAAAGAACTTCATTCCATTTTTTTTCAGTGCACCTTTTTGGCTTCCCTTTCGCTGTGTGTGAGTGTTTGGGGACGCATTCAAAGCAATTTCCACAATTTTCGTATTGTTTACTTAATTAATTCTGCACAAAGATTTTCAGTTGCGAGTGTGTGTGTGTGTGTGTGTGGGTATATGTATGTGTGCTAGGACCTCGCAGATGTTTTGTGGTTATTACAGCAAACCAACAAACACTCGTTCGTATACCACCCACCCCCTTACCACCACCCGATACCCATTCGGACAGACAAAACGCGTAATGAGTTTATAACATTTAATGAATCCACAGCAGCCGCAGCAGTACAACACGGCGTATGCGTAATGTGGCCAGACGACACCTTAAAGTGGGTTTTAAAGTAAGTCTTTATTTGCATTAAATGATTTATTATTAAATTAAAAATAAGATTAATTTTTAAATTAAACCTTAAAGTTTTTACAGTATTTTAAACAAAGTAAATGTACTTAAATTCAAGATTGAACCTTTTTAAGGCCTTTGGTTTCAAGCTCTTTGTGATAAGCTTCTCATATATGCCCAGGCATAGTATCCTTGTTCCACTTTTCAAGTGCCACGCCTTAGCAACGCCTCCTTTTAGCATTTGAGAGCAGGATTCAGGCTTTTACTGCAGCTTGGAGTTTGGAGTTTGTGGAGTTAAACTCGGCACTTGTTTTTCCTATTTCCCGCTTCAATTTTCTTTATATTTTTCTTGTTGTTTGGGGAGGCGGGAGGTGTGGCACTAGCATTGACTTTCGATTTGTTGTTGTAGCTGCTGCCGTTGTTGTTGTTGTTATCTTCCATGAAGGGAAACTATTTTACCGCTCAATTGATTTTGCAATTTATTTGCGCGCATTATGCGAAGCGGAGAGTGAGAGAGGCAAGGATACGTATGGCAAGTACACTCACACGTGTCCTGGGCCTTGAAAATGGAGACTGGCATATAGGATATGTAGGATACGGAATACTGGTGGCATTTTCAATTCTATTTACTCCCAATAATCATCATCAATGTCAGTTTCGCTGGCACTAAAATAAAAATAAAACCAAGCCAGGCAAACAATTTTTGTTTTCCCTTAGAGTCCTGGGCTGCTCTGCTGTCTCTTTCTGTCGCTTGCAACAAAAACGTCAACAGGATCATTGGCAAAAATTGACAGCAACAACAATGAAGCGGAAAAAGAGACAGCAGCAGAAAGGTCAGAGGGAGAGATGGAGATGGAGATGGCTAGGAACGCATTGAGAGTTGATGTTTATATCGATTGCTGGCAATTTCGTGAATTACAACAGACAAACACTACGGGGGAGCAGGAAGTAAGAGAGGGGTGATCTGAGGGGCAGGGGGTGGAAAGAGGAGGGGTTGGAAGGACTCACACGGGGGGACACACTTGAGACACGTCGTCAGCGACGTGAGCATGCCGCTGTAGTTTCTCCCTTCGTGCTGCTCCTGCCACCTCCTGTCGCTTTTTCGTTGCCACAGTTCCTATTATGGACACTCTAGGAAATCAAGTTATAGTTTTCAAGGAAATATTTAAAATGTAAACTGAATTTAAGCTTTAAGGAGAGTTAAGAATTCATAATTGAAAATTCATAAAATTAAAATAGTAAATAAATAGCTTTTGCCAAAAATGGTTTCGTACTTTTATTTAGGCTACTAAGCTAAGTAGCTGTCTTGGAATATATATTATTATTATTACTATTTATTATTATTATTTATATTATTTCTCCCAGTGTAATTGTTGTTGTGGCAGTGTTGCCATGTCGCTGGCGTTTGTTGAATTGCCGTAGTGGCGGCTGCTTGGAGGACAAGTAGTGTCGGGGTCACCAATTCAGCCAGGAGTCACCAGTTCTCCCAACACACACTCACACTTATACACACACTCACACTCACGCTCACACTCACACTCGGTAGTCAGGAGTCAGCATAGCATAGCGAGACGGTAATCAAAATATGTCCAGTCACAGGCGGCAAATGTTTTCATTTTCAGAGAAGTTTTTAAAACTGAAATTTTAATGCCATAAACTTAAATGTATATTAAAAATAAAAATATAAAAACAGGTTAATATAAAAATATATATAAATTTAATTGATTTTTTTAAAGTTTACTAAAAAATTAAAACTGTTTTTTAGATGAAACTACGCCTCTTGTATAAAATAAAATTAGCTGCTGGTTTAAATATACTAGAAAAGACTTACATATATTATATTAAAAACAGTAATTTAGTTGAAAATATTTGTTAAATTGGTGTTAAAATACTTTAAATATATTTAATATTATGATATTTTATTAATTTAAAACGTAAATGTCACATATTTACTCTTTGTTTAATTTGAAGTAAGTAAACAAAGTTCTTTAAAACCTTAAATTAATTTTAATTTCTAAATTTATTTAGTTTAATTCTAGCATACATAACTTATTTAAATGTAGTTTATTTCTGTTTCTATTTTTATTTTTTAAATAAAACCATCAGGACTTTTGGCTGACTCTAGCAAAGAATGCAGCTGC